AAGCTTTCTTGAGAATCACATTAAGAGTGTGAGATGATTTCAGAGGGAAATAATGGATTCCTTTCTTCCTTCAAGATGTATCATAGCATCTCCATTTCCACACTGTATGAAGAAAAATTAAGAGAAACAGCAATAAAAAACAAAGGAGAAAACAACTGTGTTGCAAAGCACTGACATCAAGGGTGCAGTTTTCTCCTTTTCACACAGGCATTGGAATATAACTAGCTTAGTTACTTCTCACTTATGCTGGTTCTTCACTACTCATAGTTTTGTTCTCCAAGAAGTTCTTGAAATATTGAAATTGTCTTGAAGTTGTCAGTCCCTTTTATCAGCAAAGAATTAAGAAACAAGAATTAATTTCTCTTCTGCGCACAAGTGGTCACAATAAAACCTGCACAGAGCCTATTTCAGCAAAATACAGGAGGCTCCCAAAGCATCCAGAGTACAGGCATCTGGCCTTAGTCAAGCTGATGTCTTTCACAATGTACTGATACTGCGGCTTTGAAGGACTGCTGTGTTCTTTCATCACTTGAACCTTCCTAACACTTGAGAAAAACCCGAGGTTTCCACAGATCCATTGTAGAAAATGTCCTTTCATTTCACTCACAAGGAAGTGAAAAGCAAAACATCACTTTGACTAAGGTATGTTTTGTATACAGTGAAGGACTTTGGACAAGAAAACAAAAATGCTGAGCAAAAAAAACCCATCCTAACTATGTAAATAAACTTGAGAAACAGGAGAAAAAAGCATGAAATCAAGGCACCTCCTCAGCACAGGTCCCAAGAAAGAGAAAGAACTGCGAAAAAAATATCCAGGCTGCTACTTTTCCTTTCCACCTTAAAGTTTCCCTACAACCACCACTACAATATGACCAGTTCCTCTACACTTTCCACACTGGCATTGCTCATCTTTTAACTACATACTGCAGAAGTCTGCACCTCCAGTTTCCACACTGTATGAAGACAGATCCCTCTGGACTGCAGCACAATGCTCATGCCTGGCTGGCCTTTCCTGCTGGCCTTTCCAGGTGGGCCAGGATAAGTCCAGGACAAGGCAGCAACGGCTGTAGTTAACCGCAGTGGTGTGCGATGTTCCATGGAGCAAAACAGGGTCTGTTTAAGAAAAGAAGCCCGAGCTCTGTAATTTATGATCCTTCTGCTTCACATTAGCTGATTACCGTGAGTAAGAATTCCTGAAGGTGCTTTACCGCCTCTTTCTGTCACATATTAACATCAAGTCAAGGACAAAGCATTGGCTTGTTTCCAAAAAAGCATAATGCAGCCAGACACTCCAAGAGGATATGTGCTTTCTGCTAACACATCCACCTGATTAAAGAAGTGCAGAGTGGCATTGTTTCTTTTTCCTCTTCGCATATCTCCATGTGCTGCAGCATGTATGAATGGGCTGTCCTTGAGACAAGCATGCTGCTTATCTAAAGAGGAAAGCCTGGTGTCAGGAGTTCACAGCACTTGACATATCGTAAAATTAGCCTTCAACAAACAGAGTTATGAAAACCAATGTTTAATGTTAGCGTTATATTTACATGTTCAAAGACAGTTTGTTTTCCTGCTTTAATAGTTTAAAAACTCTTGCATGCTATGTTGATGGGTATTCAGTTCTTCGTGTGCAAACCAACAGCTAACCACCAACACAGTCAACATCCCCAGGGAAGCACTTCAGAAACCACATGGGCAGGAAGCCATTCTGAGTCTCTCCAGACACCTTTAGAAAAGCAGAAAGGTGTAGCTTACGGGGTGCTAACACTGCTATAAGACTCAGTGAGGACATGCCTGTGGCTTCACTATATTGACCCATCCAGAAGTTAACAGCTTCAATTGACTCAGTGTGCAACAAAACATGGAGTAATTCAGTGCTGTATTTTTGACTCACTGATACCCTCACTTTCAGCCCATTTTCTTTTGCTGATGATCTGGTGTTGACAGAAGGCTATTTCTAGTTCTACTCTTTAACTGTGGCTGTAGGCTGAGATTTAAGATCCTCCTGTTTGTAGATCAATCATCTTCAGCTGAGGACTGGATAGTACAGGATGGACAAGCACCGGGAATCCTGCTGTCACGTTACTGCTGCCTGCTGAGGAGGACAGACAGTCCTACCATTTCTGTGTCTTTCAGTAGTCAGAGGGATGAACAGACTGTAGAGTTAACAGAGCACATGACAGAAAACAAGTATAGCCACTTTCAAGAACCCTCAGTGTCTAATTACTTGAAGTGTAAGTATCAAACCATAGAAGGGGGGCTGGCAGACATGTATGAGTAAATCAAGATAGAACAGTGAAATCCTTTAAACTCTGCAGTCTGGCAATAGCTTGTAATCTGATTAATTTTAACTTCAGTGGAAGCAATAATCAAACTGTGATTTAAATGTCTTCCAAACAGAAACAAATATATAAGATTAAACTCTTATAAATTATGTAATTGTTTGCTGAATCTTTTCAGTAACGAATACATATGTATATATATATGAATAGATGCTATTCTGCATGTCTTAAAAAATGGAATGATAGAATGAACCAAAACAAACAAACACATGAACCAGCTGAAGTTGATATCCCAGTCAAATTCTGACTCAGATAACTAGATCTTTCCTCTCTTCCAGCTTCAGCACGACTCTGCAGTCTTTTAATATATATAAAGTATTGCATATCTGGGCTGGTTGCTCTTATGCTTGAGTTAGCCACATTGCCATAGGATATTAAATGACCAGCAGGCTCAAGATAATTGTTTTTTAAAAAGTGGGTTTCCACTGTAGCTGATCCATCTATTTAAAAATCGATGTCAACAACAGCCCACAAGCATTTTCTTCCATCTGTGTTCATT